CGGGGGGGGGCGGGAAAGAGGAGGGGGTCATTGCGCTTCACATCAAAAGTCCCCTGTGGCCATGGCAACAGCCTCTGATGAGAGGCGAAGGGGTCCGGCGCCCGCCGGAGGCCCCTCTCTCTCTAGAGGGCCCCAGTATGCGGCTTCAGGAGTCCTGAATTTAACCATGCTTGCACCTGGCGAGGCAATCTGTGTTGGCTCCTCCTCGCTGTCCTCCTCGCTGCCCTGCATTTCATAAGGTCACTTCTAGCCTCCTACTCCATCCCCACCCAACCGGTGAGATCTGGTTCACCTGACCACACACAGTGATTTTTCTTTAATTCAAGGACTTGAAAGCTCAAGGCTCCCACTCACTCCACCGACCGGCGTTCCTGGGCTCCCCCCACAAGGCGGCGCCCACGCAGAGCCACCTGTCTCTTTCCTCATACCTGGCCTGGGCTCTAGAAGCAGCCGACCAAACCAGGAAATAGCAAGCCCTCCAAGGATCTTGGGCGTTAAACTCCGTAGATACAGAAGCATTTACTGGCCCTCTCCCTGGTCAGAAAGATGGGAGAATTTCATATGGAAATCAGGGTTTTCGTCTTCAATGGAGACTTGATGGACTACATGTTTCCCTTGTTGAAATGGGCTGGGGCTCGAGGCCTGCCTCTCCTTTTTGTCAGTGTTACCAAGGCTATTTTGTGATCACCCTGTGTCATATATATTTCTCCTTTTGTTTCATCCTGGCCTGTCTCACTTCACTGATGTTACTCACGGGGTCTTGGAGGCATGTGGATTTTCTGCCCGACACTGCTCAGAAGCTAGTGATAGCTTCCCTCAGGGGCAGTTCCCTCTTCACACTGGCAAGTGCCCTGCAGGCCCAACTCTGGACTAATGCACAGGTAGCACAGCAGTCTCTGTCATGACAGCACAATCAGTGGGACATTTCCTGCTAGTTGTGTGTGGGGTCCTTTCCGTTTTTCTATTTTCACATTAATCGTAAACCAGTGTGTCTGCCTATTGTCCCAGCACTCAGGATGCAGAGGGGGTAGGACCATAAGTTCAAGGTCAAATATCAGGTACTTGGACACACTTAGGAATTGTGGTTTTCATCTATCCCTGGGGGAGCTGATCACATAGAACATTCTTTTGTAGTGCTGGAGATTGAAACCCAAGTCTAGAAAGAACACACTTTACCTTGTTTAAGGCATAATAAAATCTTATTCCTAAATAGATGAAAAAAATAGGGAAAAGAAAATGTCAGACCTCCCAGTCTCAATTATCCTTACATGATCATGGTACTATTTTACATTCTCTGCTTGGCAGGGTAAACACATCCGTAAAAACCGTTCTCATGAATGCAACCCATCACTACAAATACAAATAAACAAACCGCTTCCCTATAACAAAGACCACCATGCACTTCATGCCCTCACTCACACAATCAGTCAATAATAAGAATTTCGCTGGAGACAGAGTCTTGCTGTGGGTCTAGTCTGGCTGAGAACTCCTGTCTCAGCTTTCCAAGTGCTGGGATTGTCATGCCCCATCCCTTTGAAATATTTTGATTAATTCTTTTGATAATTTAATATGTCCACATAGTGTATTTTGATCATATTCAGGCCAATTTTCCTCTCTTATTCCTCCCCAACTTCCTCTGGACCTCTCTTCCCACTGAGTCCCCATCTCTCTTGCATGAATTTTCTTTTTATGACCCATTGAATTTACTTAGGATTACTTGCATGATCTTGAGTGTGGAATTATTTACTGAGGCATGACCAAAGCACCAGTGATGACACCACTGGGGAAAAAAATCCCTTTTCCCTAGAAGTTATTAATGGACAATAGCTCCTCAGCTAGGTGTGGGGCCTTGTGAACCTCTCCCTAACATGTTAGGGATATTGATGGGCTCCAGAATGTCTGTTTTTTGTTTTTGTTTTTGCTTTTTGTTTTCTTTATTTCTTTATTTTGTATACAGTGTCCTGCCTGCAGGCCAGAAGAGAGCACCAGATCTCATTATAGATGGTTGTGAGCCACCATGTGGTTGCTGCAATTGAACTCAGGACCTCTGGAAGAGTAGCCAGTGCTCTTAACTTCTGAGCCATCTCTCCAGCCCTACTTTTTGTATTTTTAAAAAATTTATTTTTATCATTTTTTATTCTTGTGAAAGAGTGTGTGTCTGTGTGAGTGAATGCCATGTGTGGGCAGGTGCTCAAGGAAGCCAGAAGAGGGTCTTGGATATCCTGGAGCTGGAGACACAGGCCATTGTGAATCTCACTATGTGGGTGCTAAGAACCAAATTCAGAGGGAACATCAAGGTGGCAACTGAAAAGACCTAGTTGTCTCTTTTATATGAGTTATTAAAGCCATTTATTAAATAGTTAAAGATATAAGCTCTCAACCACTGAGTCACCTCTTCAGGCCCTACACATTGGTTTTAGTGGACATTTTAAGTAGATATACCAGTGCTGGAGGAAACTGCCTTCTTTCCCTAGCAGTATGAACACTCTGAGGACAAGCAGACTTTTATTTATGTGTTCTTGTTCTCCTATTTAAATATCTGTAAATTTTGGGTGCCCAACAAGGTAATTTTACACTACATCAATTCCAGGGGGTGATTCTTTGCAGCTCATCCTCTCAGGGGATTAGTCTAGTTCTTGGGCGGTACCTAGAATCTTCCAGCTCTGTATTTTCCTTGGTTTATCCCTTAGCACAGCACCAGTCTCGTAGAGGTGCTACACTTTTGAGGCTAAGGACACTCATGTTAATCCACAATAGTATCTTCTTGGAGCCCTGACGAGTTCAACCACATTTTCACAGAGTGCATGGTGTGTAGTTCTCCAACATTTCCACAGTACCTACTGGATACCTTACCAACATTTCCACAGTATGTGGTGGATAGATAGTTCAGCAACATTTTTCACAGAGTATCTGTCTGTTTGTTCTGTATAGAAAAGGCAGAGTATAGGCTATTTTACCAAAGTTACCACAGCTATTTCTACTGAAAAACCAGTTTTCTCCTCTGTATGAGCTACCAAGTCTTTTACTAAATAGTTAAGAATTCGGACTAAGATTTAGCTCAGATGGTAGACTATGAAACAGGCAACTCACCAAAGAAAAAGAATAAAGAAAAAAACCTTGATACACAAACTTTATTTCCATGGTCTACTTTTAATTTAGTTCCCAGTGCTGAAGAGGGCATGGTGCATACCTTGTGGAGGCTGTAAACTGGTTTGTTGAATTCATTGGAAAATAATTTACATTTGTGTCAAAAACTATAAATTCATTCATCCCTCTTAGACTAGTTTTGAGTATTGTAGTAATGCAATGTTAATGTAGGCAATGCTAAATACACGAAAGTGTATGTATGTATTAGCTACTTTGAGAAAATGTCTGACATCAGCATCTTAAGGAGGAGGAATTCATTTTGGTCTACAGTTGGAGAGGACAATCCATCGTGATGGCAGGAACTTGAGACAGCTGATCATCTTGCATCTACAGCCAGGAAGCAGAGAGAGAGAGGAGGGGGGTGACTGCTGGTGCTCAGTTCGCTCTCTTTGTTTTGAGTTTAGAACCACAGTTCACAGAATGGTGCCATCCACATTCAGGATGGATCTGCCCACCTCAATCAACCCAACCTAAAACTCCCCTCACAGATATGCCCAGAGATCAGCCTCCCTGGTGATGCTGGAGCTTGCCCAGTTGAAAATCAACATTAACTGTCAGAGTGTACTTTGTGGCATTGCTTAATGATTTGAAAAGTGAAAGCAGCATAAATATCCAACATTAAGTGACACCACATTGATGGTTGAATAGATGGAGTAACTTATCAACTCTCAAATCTGTTTAGGCCTGGCAAGATGGCTCAGTGCGTAAAGGTAGTTTGCTGCCAAACCTGGCAACCTGAGTTTTATCTGCAGAACCCACATGGTGGAAGAAGAGAACCAACTCCTATAAGTTGTCCTCTGATCTTAACATTTGTGCTGTGGTGTGAACACATTTCCCTTCCCTAGCGCCTCCCCCCAATAAATAAATAAATGTAATAATGGAATATTACATTTATATTGTAATAACTAGATAAAATATTCATGCTGGAGTGCTGTGGAAGGAAATGAATAAAATGTTGACTTGCTTGCTCAACAACAATTCAAGTTCTTTTGTTGTGTGTGTGTGTGTGTTGTGTGTATGTGTTGCTAGGAATATTGCACCCAGAGTCTTGTTTGCAAGTCAGAAGAATATTCTACCTCTGCTCCACATCCCAAGTTCTAGTCATAATGAAAATAATAACACTAAGCTGCACACATAGGGCTGTTTAATGTTTGTTTAGTGGTAGCAAAGCTCAAGGCTCTGGGTTCTACCTGCAGCATTTAAAACAGCATGCACACATAAAGCAGGAAAGGGACACATTACATGTGACCATTTATACTACAGCAAAGAGATCTCAGGGAATTTTACATTCTTTTTCTTTTTATCAGGTTTCCCAAATTTTCTGAAACAGGATTGTGTAGTTTCTACAGTTAAAATGCACTTTGACAGAAACAGGGGAGGGGGTAGTATTAGTTATGTAGTTGTCACTTATCTAGCCCTGCTCCAGATGGACATAATTGGGACAGGTGTAGAAACCTGGGTAGGTTGCTTCAGATCTTGCCTGGGGTATTCAGTGACCATGACATAGCTTGGATTTATCAGCAAAAAGGCTGATAAGGGACATTTGGTTGTTGGTTAACTCAGATACACTGTCAGCCCAGCTGGCCTCAGCCTTTTCCCCATTAAGCTTGTTTCTGTTTCTGACCACACTTCCCTCCAGACCTGAAGTGATAAGGATGACAACAGTATGTCCCTTGCTGGTTTTGGAAACAGGGAATACTAGCTACTTTACGTATGTCTGTCACAAAACACACGACAAAAATGACTTAAGGAAGAGAACACAAGAGAAAACCTAGAGGACCTCAGACATGGTAATGACTTTTTTAAAAAAATTGTGTGTGTGTGTGTGTGTGTGTGTGTGTGTGTGATGTGATGTGTGTGTGTGATGTATGTGTGTGTGTGGGTGGGGTGTGTGTATGTGGGTGTGTGGGTGTGTGTATGATGTAGGCACAAAGGTGCTATGTTGTGCATGTGGAAGACAGAAAACAACCTTCAGGAGCTGGTGAAATCTGGGGATGGAATTCAGGCCATCAGTCTTGCTCAGGAATTGCCTTTTACCAGTACAACACCAGAGGAACAATTCATGGGGGGGAAAAAAATCACTGATAAACTAGACTTAATCAAAATTATACAGTTTTGCACTACGTCATTCAGGGAAGAGAATGAGAAGACAAGCCACAAACTGGGAGACATACCCACAACAGATGTATTTGATAGAGACCCACTGTACAAAAAAAAAACACACACTCTTAAAACTCAACAAGAAGAAAACAGCCAAATTTAACACTGAGCCAGGGCCACAAGAGACACCTCACCAAAGCAGAGATCCATAAAGTCAATAGGCTTTGTACCACAGACTGGGCAAACATCAATTAAAACAACAGGATACCACAGTGTGCCTATTCAAGTGACCGACATCTGGAACCCCAGGAACACCACGTGTTGGAGAGATGTGGAGCAGAAGCAGCCTGTTGCTGGTAGAAATGCAGAATGTTACAGTTTGGAAGAGGCTTCGCAGTTTCTTACACAACTAAACATATCCTTCCATATATTTCCTCTCCTTGCTGTAACATATAACTGAGGAAAGCAACCTAAGGCAGGAAGAGTTGATTTTGGCTTACAGCTTGAGGGGACAGTCCCTCATGGTGGCAGCAGTGTGAGGCATTGGTCACATTGTTTTGAAGTCAGGAGACAGACACATGAGATGAGTGCTGCTCACTGGCTACCTTTCTTGTTTCTATTCAACCCAGGACCCCAGCCTATGGGATAATGTGTGGTGATATATTATTTATGATTTATTAAAGCTTGCCTAAGGATTCAGAAAGCAAAATCAGCCACAAGCTATAGAGGTCAGGCTGTGGTGATGCATACCTTTAATCCCAGTAGCCATAGAGCTAGGAAGTGGTGGCACACACATTTAATCCCAGGACTCAGGATAAATAGGTAGACAGATCTGTTAGTTCAAGGCCATACTGACTACACCAAATTGATCCAGTCCTAAAAGAAATAGCTTACATAAAGGTGATCTCAGCACCTGGGATCACTCGTCTTTAATCCCAACACTAGGGAGGTGGAGACAGGAGGATATGGCTGGGCAGAGGAAGGAATACAAGGAGGAGGAGACAGGATCTGGGAGCCTTTTGTCTCTGAGGATTTGTGGAGACAGGATTACCATTTCAGCCGAGTAGAGGTAAGATCTCCTGGCGCAGCTGCTTTGCTTCTCTAATCTTCAGCTTGAACCTTTAATAAATCACAAACAATATATTACCACAATCATATTTTCCACATTCAGAGTGGGTCTTCCCTATTCAGTTAAATCTTTCTGGAATCACCTTCACAGACATATCCAGAAGTGTGCATCCATGACGACTCTAAATCCAGTCAAACTGGCGAGCCTATATCCACCACACTTAGTGCATGAGCCAGTTGTCATGTCCCTGAGTCCGCACAGAGCCTATACACATGTTTATAACAGACTAAGTCAGCTGTTTAGCAATGCACAAAGGTCACAGCTTCAGGGCCCAGAGCAATGAGTCATTTTGTGCAGAAAGGAAATGCTATTTCAGAATGAAGTCCTGGCCAAGGCTACTGGGGTGGTGGGGCACCACCCTATAAGGGGAAAGGTTCTTGGAGCCCTCGGTTAGATTTACCCCTCAAGATTGGAAAACAGTGATTTTAGTGAGATTTTCCCCACCCAGGAACTGGTTTCTTCCAGACAGACTGAGGTCACCTGATGAATACTTAAGACCTGAGACACTGGTGGGGTCTGGGAATGGGGGCCTTCAGTTACTTTCTGAAGGGCAGGCAACACTGAACTGCTTAGGAGTGTCTCAGGAATGTCAACAGCTTACCCTCATCCCTTCTAGAATGATTTACCTCAGTGCAGCTCCTACAAGCTGTGTTGGGTTGCTGCCTCTATCCGTTTCTAGGAAAAAGGCTTTGGTGGTCAGTACCACAGGCTGCTGGGACTGATTCACGCTGGCACTCATCCCCGGGCAGGCAGCTTTTATCTGCACGATTGGAACACCCTGGGGAACACAAAGGAAAATTAAGTTCCTTCTTTTCTCTATAATCTAATTCAAAATTAGAATGATTGTGGTTATAAATCTCAGATTGAGTTGTCTGCTCATTATGGTTCTGCCATTTCATTTCATGTGATAACAATAGCATCACGCATTAGGCAGAATTTATGGTCTTCCAAGTGTGTGCTCGCCCCTCCTCCCCTCTGCATATATTTGATTGTCACCAAGGCCCTGCTACACAGAAAATGAAGGGTCACCATTTCCTTTAGAGTGAAGAAAACCTGTAAGACCAAGGAGGAAGGGCTCCCCAAGGCCAAACACCAGTTTCCACTGCCAAACAATGTTGTGCAGAGATTGCATCTGCCTTTTAAAGATGAGTTATTAGGGCTGGTGAGATGAACCTGCCACCAAGCCTGACAACTTGAGTTCTATCCCTGGGACCCACATGGTGGAAGGAGAGAACTGGAAATCCCTCAGCTGTCTTTTAACCTCTGCATGTGTACTGTGGCAAGTGCAAAACCACACACATGTACACACACATGTACCCGTGAGCACACGAGGAGGCACATAAATAAAAATAATAAAACTTAAAATTAATCATTAAGCTTTTTGAAATACTTAAAATACATAAAATAGGTGCTGAGACTATGACTCAATTGGAACAGGACTTACCTAGCAAGCATGGATTAGGTGGGTGACTCTAATCCCAGCACGTGAGAGATGCAGACAGAAGGATCCAAAATTTAAGGTCATTCTCAGCTACATAGTGAGTTTCAGGGCAGCCTTAAATAACTGAGACCCTGCCTCCAAAAAATAATAGAAAAAGAAGGAACAACAAAAACAAATAAACAACAACAACAACAAAAACCACAGAAACTGGACACGCACCTATCTACTATTCTGTCCTTCCTTCCTTCCTTCCTTCCTTCCTTCCTTCCTTCCTTCCTTTTTTTAGGGTCTAATTAAGGTTTGCCGTTTTGCCCCCTTCTGACTTGAGGGTACCAGGCACACACATAGCACACAGACATGAATGCAGGCAAAAACAGTGGGAGAGATAAACTTGAATTATACTGCACTAAGTTAAATATTTTTAAATAAAAGTGATTTATTATTTTTTAAAATAGTGTGTTTAAAAAAACACACACCTAAAAACAGCTTTCTGGCAAGGCAGGAAATAGTACAGAGTGGCTCACTCTCTGCCTGTTTTGGTGGCCATGATAGGCTGAGGCGCCAGGGTTTGCCTCACTGATCAAGGGAAACTGCATTTGCTCTAGTGCTGCTGCTAGTATGATTGCTTCCTTTACAGTAAGTCCCATCAGTTACAAAGTGCAGAAAATTGATCCCCAAACAATCAGGCTTTTTGCTTTCCTGAGGATCATATACACCTAAACATGGCATTGCCGTGTTCTGGAATCACCAAGTCCTGAACACATGAAGGCAAATCATGTCAAACAAAGATTCATCTCGTTTTCAATACCGACTGTAAGTATTTTTTGGAGTTAACGGGCACTGTGTTTTCCTATGAAGTTGCATTTTCTTTTTTTAAAATAATTTATTTAATTTTACTTTATGTGCATTGGTGTTTTGCCTGCATGTATGTCAGTGAGGGTGTCAGATCCCCTTGGTCCCCTGGAACAGGAGTTACAGTCATGAGCTGCCATGTAGGTGCTGGGAATTGAACCTGGGTCTTCTGGAAGAGCAGTCAGTGCTCTTAACTGCTGAGCCATCTTTCCAGCCAGAAGTTACATTTTCTTAGCATTGAGGGGGGTGAGGAAGAGGAATGCAGCCTCTTCCATATGACTAAAAGCAATATGTTTATAAGAAAACATTTGACATACTATTTGTGTTGTTTTAAGCATACTGTAGTGATATGTTTGTTTAATATATGTACATAGGTATTTTTAGGATTATTTTTACAGTTTCCAACCAAATCTATGTTTGTATAATTTATTATGATAGCCCCCATATATAAATCAATAGGACAAAGTAGGAGCATGTATCATATTAACTGGTGTCTCCTTAAACACTAATAATGTGCCTTGAACACAATGAAGTCTCTGGCCTCTCACATCTCAGTACAGAATGCAGCTTAATTATAAAGCAAATCTTCCTCACAACTGGATGATGAAAGACAGGAAGGAAAGAGTCTCTTCTGAAATAAAATGTTATTTTTTGAAAAAAAAGGTTTAATCATTTATTTATTTCTTTGCTTTGTTTTCCTGAGACAGGATCTCTATGTAGCCTTGGCTGTCCTGGAACTCGCTCTGTAGTCCAGGCTGGGCTGGAACTCACAGAGATCCACCTGCCCCCACCTCCCAAGTGCTAGGATTTGAGGCTACCACACTGTTATTTGTTACACTTAAAGAATCTTATTGACTGAACTCAGACATAGAAGTAGAAGGTCTCAGCGAGGACAGCCTATGCCTCTTGTTAGTCTATTCCTTGTGATTTCTTTGGCTTCCTTGATCCTCTTGACCAAGAGTTCAGCATGCACAGCATCCTCCTTGTTTTTCTCATTGAATTGTTTCTTCAGAGCTACACATCATCATTTGTGTTTCAGGTTACATGGAGTACCAAGTCCCTGAATCTTGGGTGCTTTGGTCCTGGGCTTCTTAGCTTCTTTGTTTAAGGGCTTTTTGACAGACATCATCTTTTTTAGAGAGACTGAAAAGTCTTTGGATCCTGCAGCTCTTTTGGGTCTCAAATGCTGAGGTACAGTGGAATCTGTGAGTCAAGGAACATCCTTCCTCCTTTCTTTTACAATAACCAAGTTGAGAACACTTTGGTTTACACAGCACGTCCTCAAACAGACTTGTAATTCCTCTCCCCAGATCTCTTTGGTCTATAACAAGAATTCCCCTTACTCAAAAACATATATACTCTGCCATGGGTCAAACTCTTTGCTTCATGAAAAAACCTTGTTTGTCATTCCCAGCATTGATTCAGATCACGTAACCCTTCCATTCTTCAGCCAGAGCATCAATGGTAACTTCTGAGGATGTTGCATTCTTCATAGGAAATAAGTTTGCGTTGAACACATCACCCACTTTGGTGAGTTTATGACAACTGGTGGTTGGGAGGGAGATGCTCATTTTGATGCAGCTGACCACCTAGGATGCTCCGGAAAAACAACTCTGCCTCCCCGTTCTGATGATTGTTAACACATTTGCTTCAGGTACTTTTAAACATGAGAAAAAATGTATACAAATACAGATGCCTCCATCCCATTTTCTCTCTCTCTCTCTTTTTTTTTCAGGTATGAATACTATTGTGAAGGTGATCCCTGTCTTGCTGTTCATGTTACTAAATAGTTATTACATTGGTACTTACCTAGAATGGTCTACATTATTAATATTATGTGCCTATGTATTTATTTAAAGACAAGATCTGGCTGTCTAAATAAATAAATCCCAAGCTGGCCTAAAACTCTCAATCCTCCTGCCTCTGCCTTCTCCCCAGTGCTGGGATAACAGATGTGTGCCTTCACATCTGGCTTTGGCTTTACTCTTTAACATTACAGCTTTTGGTTTTCTGTCACTTGTTTTACTCACAGAAATACACCATCATGGTATTTTCTATACAGCCAAGTTAACTTGCACAGATCCATTAAGTTCATTGATCACTCTATTTTTCCCCACTGAATATTCTGTTGCCTAAGTAGAAATTTAAGTGTTTTCCATGTCTTACTGTTTGTTTGTAAGCAGTACTACAATGAACACCTTTCTTCTAGAATGTTCCACAGAGGGAAACAAGATTCCAGGTGCCAATGTTCATACATGAGCTTCTTTAGTGTGTGTACCAATAACAAGAGCTGCTGGACTGAATGCTATACACAGCTTCACATTAGTTAGATATTGCCACATTAGTCACCAGAGTAACTGTGGAAATGTATACTTCCAAGAACAACATCTAAAACTTCCCACTGTATCTTCACAAACATTTGCCAGCATCATTTCTGTTCATTTTTCAAAGCTGATGGGTGTAATTTGTTGTTATAATTGTTTTTAATTTTTTATTTTATGTACATAGGTGTTTTACCTGCATGCAAGCCTGTGTACTATTTGGTGTGCCTACTGCCCTGGGAGATCAGGGGAAGTTAGATCCCCTGGAGCTGGATATACTGTTTGTTGTGAGCCCTTGTGTGGATGCCAGTAATTGAACCCACTGCTCTTAACTGCAGAACCATCCCTCCAGCCTGTTACCAAGTTTTAACTTGCACTGCCTCCATGAGGTGTCAGTTTGTGTACTGTTTACTTTCTGTTTATTTTTGAGACAGGGTCTCATATATCCTCAGTCACACTATGTAGCCAAGGATGCGTGACCTTGAAGCTCCTGATCTTGTTTCTACCTCTTCCTCCCAAGTACTGGGATAACAAATATTCATCTCCAAGCCTGGTTTTATGTAATGCTAGGGATTGAACTCAGGGCTTTGTGCATACTAAGCTGTGGACAGAGTAAGGGAGTCCACAAAAGGATATCCAGTATCTATTTGGGGGACAC